GGATGCCAGAGGGATGTCTGACTGCCAGGTTGGGCCTGATCCCCCAGGGAGCGGGCCTAAACCAGCAGGTGGACATCCTCTGAGGGGTCCCAGACTGCAAGAGGGACACAGGCCGGCTGAGGGACCCCCCGAGTGCACAAATTTTTGTGCACCGGGCCTCTAGTTTGAATATAAGTGGCCATGGAGGGCAACAGAGTTCCTTCAGTGGGCTGTGCTTCCATGACTTCGTGAATGAAGATTTCTCTGCCTACAATACTATTCTTTTACTAATTCACCTTGCTAACTCTTCCTTCAAATCTCAGCTCAATGCCCTCTTCTGAGAAGCCTTCCTTAGTTCTTGGTCTGATCTCATGCCCCTCATCCACATTTCCACAGGCAATAAAGACATAGACAGGCCTGCTTCTAATAGTGATTGATCAGCCTGCCTCTTCTCCACATAATTAAAACTCCTTACTGTCATATCATTCATCAGTATCAACCAGGACCTCACACAAAGCAGGCTTTTAGTAAATGAATAAAACTAAATAATACATATTAAAGAGATATCATCTAAAGAACATTTAATCTATAGCCATGTGAAAGTAAAAAAAAAAAAAAGAATGTGCACACTTGTGTGCATTAACCCTGAGTAAGAATCTACTCCAGTCATAGGAAGGGAGAGAACGCATGTATGAAATCATCTTACTTTTGGCAGATTATGTTAAAAACCAATCAAACCTGCCATTTTCTAATCTCACCAACTGGAAATTATAGACATTCTTTCATTCCTTTTATTCTCCAGCTTCCCTTTTTATTGTCATTTTAAGCGTGAGCTTTCCATAAAGGCCTTCTAAAAATGGGTTCCCTCTGAATATGCCTCCTCTCTCCTGTGCCTCTTCGCTCCCGTCAGCGCTCTGTCCTCTCTTCCCCAGCAGCCCAAAGCCTCGCTCCTGTGTTGCTCTGCTTTTCAATGCTACCTACCCAGCAGAAACACCACCATGCTCTCGCCAGGCAAAGCCATTTCCAGCTCAACATCCTTCCCACTGGCCTCTTCCTCAACCCTTGGTTATCCTACCACCCACAGGCTCCGCTACTCCTGCTCCCACAGATGCGTCCTGTTTCCTTTTTCTAGCATAAACTTTGCTTCCTGTATTATGTGTCATGCGTATCACATCTATTACTTCATAATAATAGCTACAGCTTATCAAGTACTCACTATGCCAGGCACCCTGCACATATTACCCACGTTGCCTTTATGCAAAGGTTAATTAGGCCTACCTTACAGATACAGAAGCCAGGCTCAGCTCTGGACCTGACTGGCCCAAAGTCACAAATGAGCAGGCGGCCACAGCACTGAGGCCAGTTATGACGACTCCAAACAAAGCCTACGGTCTTTCCACGGCAATACCCTCCCTCCCCACTTATCTCGTCACTCCAAATCCAGGGCTTGTCGTTCTTTAAACTCATGGGAATATGACGAAGTCTTGTTCGCCCACCTGCTTGTTCTATTCAGCTTGAGTCTGCAGGGCTTTGAGAAGGATGTTTGCCACATGCTCACTAGCATCCCGTTAGCTAAGGGTTGTTAGGTTTCCCAGGAAAAAAACAATAGCAGTTGCCCTTCCTAAGTATTTACTGTGTGTCAAGCACTGCAGCAAGTGCTTTTGCTCATTTCTCCTTTTAAAACCCCATGAAGGAGGAAAATTATACTCACTTTACATATGAGAAACCAGTTTAGAGAGATTACATCCTTTGTCCTAGTTAGTATGGCAAGCAAGGGTTATGAAGCTCCCGAGCCCCATACTTTTAGACCTCTGAGTGGCCTCAACCAGCTAATCATACCAGCACCTCCTTTTATGGCTCCCCACCCTCCTGCCAGCAGAGTTGAAGAAATTCATGGTACCAGGCTAACCTGGAACATACAATAGCTGACACAAGAGCCCTTGGACCTTCTGTTTGCAGAAAATCCTCAAGGTCCCCACCCTCCCAGGCTGCAACAGAGATCTGGGGAAGGGCCGGTCTGGGAAAATACAGAAGAGGGTAAAGGAAGGCCTTGGGAGTGGAGAGGAAGCAGCAGTGACCAGAGTGAGCAGTTCTCAGGGTCAGGAAGGAGCACAGAGGGGAGGGAAGAAAGCCCTGAAGAAATGGCTTGGGAACCTCAGCAGAAAGAAGAGGCTGGAGTGGACCAACCCTGCAGGGCCAGTAACCACAACTAAGGGAGCCCAAGTCAGTGACGGACTCCAGGGTGGCTCCTCCACACGGGCATTCCATGCATAGTAACTATCCAAACTGTTCACGACATTCAGATAAAATAGGTCTTATTAATTCCTATCCGCCAGGATTTAAGTAAGAAGCTCTCTCGGTTTGCAAGTATCATCCTTCCCAACCCCAAAGGCATGCAGAGACCAGAGTTAACAATCAATATTCAGAGGAAAACAGCCAGAAGATAAAACTTCTTGCTGAGGTTAAAAAAGGGTGGAGATCAAAAGCTAGATCCATTTGACCTAAGCCTCGGCTGCAGGCAAACACTACACATAAAAAGCATACCTACAGTGTAGTCACAGGCTCCATCAGTGAACAGACAGCAGCACAACTACAAGTATTTTAATAAAACCAGAACTCACTGGTGGAGAGGCAAAGCGACAAGGCGAAGAGCTGCCGCAGGCGCTTCCCAAGGCAGAGCCAGCACACAGGGGCACAGGGACGGGGCAGGCTGTCAGAAAAACACAGGAGAGGAGGAACACCACTTTGTAGTTCAACCACATGACTCGACTAACAGAAAAACCTGTCAAAACTGCTACAGGTTTGTGTTGACCAAAAATTCACATTAACCTACTTGTTAAATGCAGCGACAACTAAAACTATTTCAATTTGGCTTTAGAAGTAAAAAACAGAACTGTTATAAAATAAACACAACTACAGGTATTTAAAAAAAGGTCAATGAAATCTTGAAAAACACAAGAAAAAATTAATTTTGTAATACAAAATACTAATGTTTTCCTTAAGCTTGCATTCTCTCCTTAGTAAAAATGCAAAAAGTGGGTACTCACATTTTTTTACTGGAACTTGCTCAAGAAAAGGATGGCTAAAAAACGCTTCTGTAATGAGAAATGAGAACGCAACCTTACTCAGCCGTTGACTAGCAAATAGGTTAATCTTGTTGATGTAGTAAACATAGAGATCATAAACAATTATTAACTCATTTATGTTGCCTCCATTTCCTTTAAATGTAAAAGCATATTATTTTTATAAATCAAAATTATCAAATTATACATAATTCTTAATCAATGAAAATTTTAAAATAATTGTGAATTTTCAAAACATCCATTACCAACACAGCACACCCTGAGGCACTGAGGCAGCCGCTTTCCCATATGTGTTCTCAGCAGACCAGCCAGGAGCACTGGGCTGCGACCAGCCCTTCCTCGCATCTTTTGACCTATGGCTTTTCACTGTCCTAAGAGAAAATCTAGGTAGCTGATTTGTACACTAAATTCTATCCTTCTATCCCAGAAGTAGTCCTGCAGCTGGTTTCAAAAAAATATTTTTTTAACTATTTAAAAAATACATTAATTTGATTTAATTTCTTCACTATCCACCAAGAATAAAAGCTACACAATAAGCCTGATAATAAAAGATAGTAAGTAGCTCAGCCAGTGTTGCTCAGTGGTTAAGGATCAAACTATGAACCAGGAGGTCAGGGTTCGATTCCCGCGCCTAAGCCGGCAGTCAGACATCCCTCTGGCAGTCCGGGGATCTCGCAGTCAGGAACCCCTCGCTCATTACTGCCCGCCTACAGCGGAGGCAGGAGAGGCTCCCGCCACTGCTGCTGCACTCACTAGCCGTGAGCCCGGCTTCTGGCTGAGCAGCGCTCCCCTTGTGGGAGCATGCTGACCACCAGGGGGCAGTTCCTGCGTTGAGCATCTGCCCCCTGGTGGTCAGTGTGCATAATAGCAACCGGTAGTTCTGCAGTTCAGTCAATTTGCATATTAGGGTTTTATTACATAGGATAGGATTACTACAGAAAAAATTGCAAACACATTTTTTTTTTCTAAAAAATTTAAAGATTAGAGTTAATTTGATAAGCATCTTCATTAAACATGTTTTATGGGTTTTTTGGTCTGTCATTTTGGAGTCTTGCTATTTTACATAAGATTGATAAGAACAAGTTAACAAACTATCCCCCAAACAGTTTCAAGGGTAAATGTTCTCTCAAAACCTTTAAAAACTACATAATCCCTATAATATTAAGCACTCTAAGTTCTTTTATTAAGTGGTAAAATAGTATATGAAGATACACTGTGATATATTAAAGTACTGAGGGGGAAATTTTTAGCTTTAATGCTTATATTATAAAAGAAGAGAGGTTCAAAATCAATGATAGTAGCTTCCACCTTAAGCATCTAAAATTCTGAGATAGCCCAGCCAATGTGGCTCAGTGGTTCAGTGTCGACCTATGAACCAGGAGGTCACAGTTCGATTCCTGATCAAGGCACATGCATGGGTTGTGGGCTTCATCCCCAGTGTGGGGCATGCAGGAGGCAGCTGATCAATGATACTCTCTCATCATTGGTGTTTCTATCTCTCTCCCCTCTCCCTTCCTCTCTGAAATCAATAAAAATATATTTTAAAAAATAAAATAAAATCCTGAGACAGGCAGTGGCCTCTAAGGCCCCACAGCCCACTCCCACAATGCACGCTGGAGCTCAGCTGCCGCGGGGCACAAGCACCAGGGCTGCCATGAGGAGGTGCAGCCCTGGGCCCTAAGCCCCATTCTTTGAAGTTAGGAACTTTTCTGCCAGGATTCTGGGGTGTTTCTCCTCCATTCCTTCTTCCAGATCTTTTCCCAAATAGTTCACCAGCCTCAACCTCTCCCCTCTGATATCCAGGTGCCTGTGACATCTGTACTTAGATACCAAATGGCCATCTTAAATTTAACATGTCCCACCTAAACCCTAATCTTGCCCCCACACCTGCTCTAGCCACACACTTTTTCCCAACCTTGTAACTGACAGCTCCATCCTTCCAGCTGCTCACGCCACAAACCTGGGAGTCGTCTTTAAGTCTTCTCTTTCTCTCACACCCCACATCCAATCCATCCAGAAATGCAGTGCCTCTACCTCCAAAAAGATCCAGAATGCACCACTTTCTTCCCACCTCCCTTGCTTTTGCCGAAGTCGAAGCTGCTTCATCTCTCACATGGTGGCTCTCTGGTCTCCTTGAGTCTGCCAGCCTCCTCCTGCCTCCTCACCCGCAGCCCCCACCACAGGCTGTTCTCACCAAGCTCCAAACCGGTCCTTTTCACATTAGTCAGATCCAATTCCAATCGTTCCTCTGCTCAAAACCCTCCAATGGCTCCCCATTACACTTTAAGCAAAAGCCCAAGTCTTTATACGACCTTCCCAGCTCAGGGCAGTGGTATGGCTACTCTGCCTGAAAAGCTCTCCCAGAGACACCCACATGGCACACACACGTCAATCCAATCTTTATTCCAATGTCACTTTCTCAGAAAGGTCTTCACTGACTACCTTAAAATTTTAATCCCCACCACCCTCATTTCTCTTCCTTCTTTTAGTTTTTTCACAGTACTCATCACTTCCTAATAAAGCAAGGAATTAGAGTTATAATTTGTTTGTGTCTCTCCCCCACTAGAATATATGAATCATGAGGGCAGGGATTTTGTTTATTACTCTATCCCCCATACTAAAACATAGCAGGCACTCAATAAATATTTACAAAGTAAGTGAAAGAAAGAGAGAAATAGAAAGAAAAGTGAAACTGACTTTAATTTTCTTCTGAAACCTCTATAGTGTCTTTTTAAAAAATCTTTTCAGAATATACAAATAAAATCAGAAAGCAAGAGAAAATTGAAAATATTACTTACCAAAGTCCATTCTATCTTTTTGGTTTTTCTGAAGCAAACCCAAAAGAAGATTAGCCAAATAAGGGGATGTTTCTCTGGGGATGCTGAGGGAAAGGGGGAAAAAAAACACAACGTAAGTGGTGAGTTTATATACTACATTAACTACGCGACTTTTGCCTTAAATGTGATAAACAAAAATGTATATGCGATTTCACAAACACTACATCTCATACCAATACCATAGGTAAAGCCTCAATCCTCAAAGGAAAAAAAACATACAATAAGGAACTGCCTTTGAGAATGATGCCTGTTATGTGCTCACTCCTGTGGAATGCTGGAATATCTACATGAAGAAAGCACTTCACAAGCAAAGGCAATCTTGAGTTTTAACACAACTGCAACCTGGGACTAACAGTTACTATAGAGTTCTCTATTAAAAAAAGAGCTACCTCCAATTCGTTCTGGAAAAGGCAGAGCTTAATAAACACAAGTGAGAAATAATACAGCTTCCTGAAATCCAACAAGAAAAAGACAAGGCAACTGAAAAAGGAATAGTAGGAATATGCAATTCACAGAATAAAACTACAAAAAGGACATTAAACAAATAAAAAAGAGTCAACCTCACTAAGACAGAGAATAATGCCAAGTAAGCTCTAGCGCTCCGCCCTTTCCATTGGTGAGTCAGCGGTCTGACGGCACCCCCCTGGGTAAGTGTCGGGGAGGCGCCCTCTGTGCTCTATAAGCAAGGAGCAGCCAATCGGGAGAGCTACCTTCAGTCCAGCAGGTCCACTTTAGGGCTCCATCCGAAAGAAACGTACAAATGTGTGTACATTCTCTCTCCTTGTTCCCCCCACTAATGCCTATTTGTAGTAACCAGAAAATAAAAACAAGCATCTGATCAAACAAAACCTGATATTATATATAACTATGAGACTCTGTGTAGCCATTTTAAAGAATGCAGTAGTTGCTGAACAATGTCTATGTTACACTGTAGAGTAGAAAAAGTTGCAGGACAATTTGCAAAATATGATGGAATTTGTATTGAACTATACATGTGTATATAAATATATATATGCATAAACAAGCATTCAAACGTGCAAAAGGAACTTGCACAAGAAAGATTTAGAAGGATACACAGCAAACTCTCATTATCCCTAGCAGGGGAAGGCCTAGGGGAATTTATTTTCCACTTTATGTACATCTATTCTGATTGCATCTCCTTCCTCTCACAGAATATAACTTCCATAGTTTTTCTTTTCTTTTTAAAATATGTTGTATTATTTTTTATATATATTTTTAAATTTTTTATTTCAGAGAGGAAGGGAGAGGGAGAGATAAAAAATGATGAGAGAGAGAACCATTGATCAGCTGCCTCCTGCATGCTCCCTATTGGGGATCGAGCCCACAACCCAGGCATGTGCCCTTGACCAGAATCGAACGCAGGAACCAGCTAGTACTAAATATATTCTTATTGATTTCAGAAAAGGGAAAGGGAGAGAGAGAGAAACATCAATGATGAGAGAGAGATCCCATTGATCAGCAGCCTCCTGCATGCCCCCTTCTGGGGATTGAGCCCGAAACCTGGGCATGTGCCCTGACCAGGAATTAAACCAACTGACTGGTTCATAGGTCAATGCTCAACCACTGAGCCACACCAGCTGAGCAAAATATGTTTTATTGATTTCAGAGAGGAAGGGAGAGGCAGGGAGAGATAGAAACATCAATGATGACAGAGAAACATAGATCCGTTGCCTCCTGCATGCCCCACATGGGGGATCGAGCCTGCAACCCGGGCACATGCCCTGATCAGAATCAAACCAGAGACCTCTAGGTGCTTGAGACGATGCTCAATCAACTGAGCCACAGAGGCCAGGCCCATAGCTTTTCTTTTAAATATATTTTTAAATATATATAAAAAAGAAAAATGATACAGCACTGCACAGGCACCTATGATGCACTAGTAATTTTCTAATTTCCTGTTATAACAAATGTCCTCATTGTCATTGACAAAAAAGGCTCAATAATGGCAATACATAAAACAGAAAGAGTTCAAATAAATAACATTGTATTAACAAAGAGTAAAGCTCAGTGTAATGAAAACATACCTAGGCATTAAGCTTCTGTGTTTTTCATAAAACATCCTTAAGTCTTGAGGACTATTGGCCTGTTAAAAAAAAAAAAAAGGTTTAATTTACTAAATAACAGGGGCAAAAATTCTAAAGCATTATGATTGATGTTTACATTCTTGCTATAGAACATAGATTCTGAACTTGGAAGCCATAGACTGCTGAACAAGCCATAGAGGCCACCAGGAACTTAATAAAAACTCTGAAATGATATGCAAATTCTACATATCTGGGCACTGAGGTCAAACATTCAAGAGGCCTGAAACTTAGATAAGTTTAAGAACCACTATTCTAGAGGTTAAGAACTAATGTTCATGGCCTATCCAACAGGTACACTGTTACTGTGTAAAATCAGGGTGTATTTTAATCTTAAGACCTTCAAGGGATTCCAGGAAGAGAACTAAGAATCCCGCTATTCTTCCGTCTCTCCACAGGAGCAAGCAGCACCCTCCCAGAAAGAGCTGCCGAATGAGTGAAGCTGCTTGTGCAGACAAACTGACTCTAAAAATTAACTGCCTGACCTGGCTGTGTCACTGAGTTTTAAATACCATCTTAGGCTAATAAATTCACTTTGATCCAGCATTCAGATTCAAAAAACCTCTATGCAATTATGCAATACGAACTCAAGAGGAATCATCATGATTACATTCTAGAGGGCCTCTTTTTGACAGGATGTTAGGGCAAAGGAGGAAAGGGAGACAGACTCAAAATAATTTCCATAAAACCTAAGCAACTATCTGGAGACAGTTTCCAGTGATATTCCCAGGCTAGCCGTAGCCCTACTTGGATTCCAAGACCCCAAAACCAGGCTAAGCAGGAAATGCTGACATCACAATTCATACCCACTAGTTTTCAATACCCTGGAAAACCTGTAACGGGCTCAGTCCAACTACAAAGGAAAGGCAGATAAAAAATTAAAAAAAAACTGTTTTGGCTCACTACAGCAGTTTTTGCCTATAACTAAATCAAAATAAGTCACAAAGGAATCAAAAACACTGCTTTCAAAGTATTCTCCATTTTATAAGTCAAAGGCAAATGCAAAATGAGAAGATCCCAAAACTGAGCACATAAGAAAAAGTCAGGATACCTGAAAAGGTGGTTTTCCAACGAGGCATTGGTATATCACTGTTCCTATGCTCCACAAGTCTGCCTTAGCATCATAATGTTGAGACATAATAACCTCAGGAGCCTGGGGTAAGAAAGTTCAAGAGAGAGCATTATGTTATTTACATAATTAATATGCACATATTAATTAACTGGAAAACAAAACTAAAACAAACAGAAAACATTGTACTATTTTCCTAATTAAAATGAAACTGTAATGAATACAGAACTACTTTCTTACACTGACATTTACTGGTAAGTCTCAAAAACAATGTTGCATGAAAAGAAGTTGTAGAAACAAGCATTTTTATATATTATGAAATACAGTAAGAGTACTAAAATAATAATAAAGAAATACACACAGCAATTACAGGATAGAGATTACTTCTGGGGGAGGAGAGGAGAAAAGTAGGAAATGGGAAAAGGGAGAGGTACAATAGAAACTTGGACCGTCTCTGAAATAATCTTTCTAAAAAAGAAATCAAGGCAAACATGGCAAAATGTTAACTTTGCTAAATATAGATGGTAGGAACACGTGTTTGCTATACTATTCCTTTTTTTTCCTGTCATTTGAAAGCTTTTAAAATAACAGAAAAACTGTACTACAAAACACAATAAAAATTATCTTAAAAACAGGCATTTATTTATCTGCTGCTTTGCTATAGCCATTTTCTCACCTCTCATTAGATGCTGCTTTTTAAAAATACCATCAATCAGGACAAGCATTAAACAGAAATGTGAAATATATTAAAGATAGTGAAATTTTATTTTCCAGGCATAACATTTTTATTGTCCCTTGTAAATTTCTTATTGAGTCAATTTCCTTTAAAAATCAGTTCAAGCACTATCTCTAGCTTTAAAGCTATTAGCCCAAGGCCGGACTAATTTCATACTCAAGAAGTACAAAATAATTTCTAAATTATATTAAGTTAAAAATTTTGTATATAAGCAGTAAAATTATGATCAAGAAAGTAAATCTAATGTAAATTTTTTTCAACTTTGATTACTAGTTCCCTTGATTTCAAAGTTGATTTTAGATGAGACAAAATCCTAATTAAAAATAAATCCATTTTAAACTTAGAATTGAAACAGGTACATTTATTTACCACGCAGGATATTTCTAGGCGTAATACTTCACATTAGTTTAGAAGTTTCATAGCCTAACCCAGTGATGGCGAACCTATGACACGCGTGTCAGAGGTGACACGCAAACTCATTTTTTTGGTTGATTTTTCTTTGTTAAATGGCATTTAAATATATAAAATAAATATCAAAAATATAAATCTTTGTTTTACTATGGTTGCAAATATCAAAAAATTTCTATATGTGACACGACACCAGAGTTAAGTTAGGGTTTTTCAAAATGCTGACACGCCGAGCTCAAAAGGTTCGCCATCACTGGCCTAACCCCATCAGACCTGGCAATATGCATATGAAAGAATAAAGAGGAAAGCTAAGATTGTTCGGCTTTAAATGTGACACTGAGTAAAAAATCTTCTACAATATAGGGATCTCATCAAGAGAGACAATATGCAAAAAATTAATGTATCCTACAGCTGAAGAGATGCCCCAAAAGGTGTTTTGTAAGTATTCCCAATATTACACATCAAGTATAGCATGACCATACTTCATCAATTTTTATTTTCAATTTAATCTAGGAGGAAATTTCTACAATAATTAATTTTTAATTTATTTTAAAGTATTTTTTATTGACTGATTTTAGAGAGAAGGGAAGTGAGAGAAAGGGAGAGAGAAACATAAATGAAAGGTACAGTGATGGGTTGCCTGCTGCATTCCCCCTACTGGGAATCAAGCCTGAAACCCGGCATGTGCCCTGACAGGAAAGGAACCTGTGACTTTTTGGTGCACAGGACTGCGTTCAACCAACTGAGCCACACTGGCCAGGGCAATAACTAATTAAAAAACAAAATCAAAACCAATGGGCAAAGATGACTAACTTTTACAGTCCACTGTGCTAAAGCAAAATGTGTCTGTATTATAGCATTATCAGTAACATAATTAATGTTAGTGGCATAAATAACAATTCAGACTCTATAAAAACTGACATCCTACTCGGGAACAAACGTTACACTTACCATGCTATGGCTGTAAACACACAAGAACGCGGACACTCACTCACCATGTACATTGGGGATCCGCACAGTGTTGCAGCCATCATGTTACTATGTAGGTAACGAGCAAAACCAAAATCCGCTATTTCACAAAATAAAAAGAAGAAAAACAAATGATACTTTTGCTCACACTTAACACAGATCATGTAATTCTTCAGGAGATAAAAGGGCACAAAAGAAATTAACAGCCATTGAATAAGACTGTTTACCAAAGAAAAAAGTAGCTACTTCAATTTTGACAAGCTAAGAAATAGTAGTAGTCAGCAATTGTACAAGTCAGTGCTCTGCCAGTTTTGTAACCAAGGAGAAAGCACCAAGCTTTGCAAGGGAAAATGCTAATTATAATACATAATTCATTAATATAGCTCTCATTAAATATCAATACCAGGTGTAGAATTTGAACTGTTTTTGTCCAGCAGATATCAGATAACATTAGAAAATTTTAAAATATTGCTAAGAAATTATTTTTCTAAAAACCATTAAAAAAGTTTTTTAAAAAATCTAGCATTACAAACTGCTTCAAATAATTTTGAGATACAAGAGCACTTAAAAACCTGCCAAATAAGAAGGCTGAACTAAACGGTCTCTTAGATTTCTTATGTTAAAATCCCGAGTTGTAGAACTGGATCATGACTTTGCCACCAACAACTGCAGTACTTCAGCTTCCCTCGGACGAGAAGGAGCGGGATTTCCTGTTGGAATCCTAACCTGAGCCCCCTGTCCAAAATTTAGCATATGCTGCCAATAATGTAAAGTGTTCGCTATCTCATACCTCACGGAACTCAATAAAAACTTTCAAAGTGCATCACAAAATCACTCATTCTCACAAAGCTGAACTATAATTATTTAAAAACACTGAGTCTCAAAAATGTTCTTTGCATGAAACACTGCACAGCCATTTACCTATTTTGATGCGAATACCACTGACACCGGACTTCCTGCGATTGGCGTACGACAGCAAGATGTTCTGTGGTTTGAGATCCCTGTGAATGATGCCTTTGCCGTGCAGAATCCGCATGGCAGCTGCAATCTGGTGCAGGAACACTCTGATGGTGTCTTCACTAAGAGTTCCTTTAGCTGGTAGGAAAGAAGTCGCATAAATATTTAACCACGAAAAATCAAATACCATCTGTACATGCCAGCAATAGACGTGATTTGCTAAGGAGACCATGGAAGAAACTGGATTCAAATTTTCTCCCTTTTTTTACTTTAGTAATTTAAGTCTCTGAAGAGATATCAAAAGTTTTAATTAGTTTGTTGTAAAGGGAACTGATTTACATTTGCATCTTTGTTTTCACTGGTGTTTATGTTTGTTTTTCCTTTCTCATTTCCCTCAATATAACAGGTGCTCAACAAATGTGAGTCCCCTCTACAAGCCAAAAAATAAGTTCTCCTTCATTTTAGTTAAATATCTGGGTCAATGTCCACATTTAATTCCAACCACTTTATGAGTACAAACTTAAAACAGGTGAAATCCTTGAATGGAGAGACTTGGCCATTACTGCCACTTAGACCTGTCAGGAGTCTGTGTTCCCACATCTGCCTCCTTTAACCTCCCTCCTGACTCACACTCCTGTCCCACCACAGGACCCTTCGTAACTAAAGACACCTTTAAGAAGAAGTGTTTTAACCTGTTTTCACTACTATAAAAAGGTAGCAGGAATGTTATTTTTGAGGTAGTCGTTATCCAGTAAGTAAACACTGCAGTGTTTCTGTATGTGCGCCGGACTGTGCAATGCTGAATGGACAGCTTGGTTTGGAGTCAGGGTGCCTCTGCTCAAATCCTAGCTCCTCACCTGCTTTCTGTGTGACCCTGGAGATTATCCCGCTGTGCCCACCCCGCATCCATAAAAAGCAGAAAATAGACCAACCACGTTGGATTTCTGTGACAATCAAACAGGATAGCACATTTAATAATGAAGACTTTAGATAAGTACATACTCAAATATAGTCAGTACACAAATATAAACTTCTTATTGCAACGAATCTAAAAGTCACAAGTAGCCCTGGCCAGGTAGCTCAGTTGGTTAGGCAGTGGTTCTCAACCTTCTGGCCCTTTAAATACTCTTCCTCATGTTGTGACCCAACCATACAATTATTTTCGTTGCTACTTCATAACTGTAATGTTGCTACTGTTATGAATCGTAATGTAAATATCTGATATGCAGGATGGTCTTAGGCGACCACTGTGAAAGGGTCATTCGACCCCCAAAGGGGTCGCGACCCACAGGTTGAGAACCGCTGCTCTAAATCATCCATACAACTCTTGAATATGTTCTATATAACCTTTCCATATGCAATTAAGATAAAGAAGCTAAAAATAACATTAACACTTGGAACAAATGAAATATTATGGTTTTAAAATCATCTTAAAGGCATGTTAAATGATACTTTGTATCTTTTTAACATCTTGAAATAAAATAAATCCCTTTGGTTTAAAATTATGGAATACTGCCTGGCTCGGGTGGGTCTGTGGATAAGTGTCAACCCAGGAACCAAGAAGTCGCTGGTTCGATTCACGGTCAGGGCACACACCTGGGTTGTGGGCTTGATCTCCAGTGGGGGGCGTACAGGAGGCAGCCAATCAATTATGTTCCTTTCTCATCAATATTTCTATCTCTCTATCTCTCTCCCTTCCCCTCTCTCTCTAAAAATCAATAAAACATATTTGAAAAGTAAACCTCAATACACTTGTCTCTCGGTATCACTGGGGTGACCCCCTGCCACTAACAAAATCCATAGACCCTCAGGGCCTTTTATAACAATGTACACTGTTGGCACCCTGCATCTGTGGATTCCCAACCTCAGATCAAAAATACTATTTCCAGGGATCTGGTCAAGATGACAAAGTAGGTAAGCAGTGTGCTCACCTCTTCCCATGACCACATCAAAATTACACCTAGAGCCCTAGCCAATTTGGCTCAGTGGATGGAGCATCAGCCTGCGGACTGAAGGGTCCTGGGTTTGGTTCCAGTCAAGGGCACATGCCTGGTTGCGGGCTTGATCCCCAATGGAGAAAGTTTGGGTTTTTTTTTGTTGTTGTTACTGTTAGGTTTCATTGCTCTACTGATGAAGTTCTCGCTGTTACTCCCATTCTCGTATTATATATAAATCACAGCCAGCCCTCATAATGACCTACACAGTACCAAGTAGATGTGGCAGGGTCTTAAAATAGTTAGCATTTCTTTCAGATGATGATGATTTGCCCCAACAGTTTATTTTAAAATACAGTACATTGGGAGACAGAGGGTGTGGGCCTTCTTTGGGGGAATATGGTTGAGCCCACGTTTCCCACAGAATAAAGGCAAGTGCTTAGTTACAATCCATAAAATAAAATCAGTTATTTACACAGTATTGCCATGAATATACACACATTTTAAATGCATATAATTATTTCATATTTCACAATAGGATTTTTTATTTTGTTACTCATTTTTTCATGTTTCATTATAACCTTTTAAAGATGCCTTTTATTTGTCACTAAAGGCCCGGCGCACGAAATTCATGTGCGGGTACGGTCTCTAGGCCTGGCCTGCAATCAGGGCCATCTTCCCCAGCTGCCCGCAGCCGGCCCCGCCCTCCACCCGCCACCCACCCCTGGTTCCCCATTCGCCATCAGGTGATCGAAGCCTGCCGGCCAGGGAAAGGGACCAAGAGG